GCCACGAAGGCCGGGCCCGCGGGTATGCGAAGCCCCACGCTGCCATCCTCCCCGGCCGAGCCCGGTGCCGCTCAGCCGAGCCAGCTCCCCGCTGCCAACCCTCCCCTCCGTCCACCCAGCGCCGCCTGCCCTGGGAATCCACCCCGGTATCTCCTGCACCGCGCAGACTGCGGTCTGAGACTCTTTACTTGCCGTATTTCAACGAGAACGTTTTTATCCTTCTGCAGTGCAGACCACTGATTCAAACCTCACTCTCCTGTTACTTGGCTACGGAGAGAGGAATTCACTTTCTAAGATGGTACAAAACCAACACTCTTAGTGCTAATGCAAAGTCCTTGATCCTTGTACTGCAGCAGTGCCTGCCCTCCGGCTTCCCCGTTCATCTGGCTCCTTTTCCTCGCTTGTTTGCCCAAAATCCTCCAAAACACAACTAGCCCTCAGAAACCTGGTGGGCCCCGGCCTAGCAAACCGTAGCAAAGTTCCAACAGGACAAAGGTGCCAGTGGCACTTCCCTAACACCTTGTGAAATCCCTGGCAAACGCGCGTCCGCCTCGCCCCACTACCCTCTACGGTGACGTTTCCCCCAGACGGTTTAGAGGCTCGGGTTTCTCAGACGGCATGAGGTGCTTTTTATACTTTTTCTGTCTCATCTTAAAGAAAGATAAACGTACATAAAGTCTACAACTGACCAGGGAACGTACCAACACTTGGCCTGAGTGAGTAACTGGCCTAAGGCCCAGCACGCCCTGTCCGGGCAGCAGCCTGCTCGCCCCCAGGGCCGTGCCAGCCTGGCGTTCTCATCGCCACCACAACTGGTGAGCTGGCAGACCCACGCGCTGGGTAACTGGGATCGAGTTCTCGCCTTCTACAGCTGCCTGAGCCAACGTTAGCTCGTTACACAGCGATACCTGGTGAGTGTGCGGGCTGAGGGGAACACACACCGCTGCACCGAGGCAGTTAACGGCATCAGAAAGCTCCGTAACAATCAAGTATTTTTGGAGGTGGCAGTTTCAGTTCTTAACAAAAAGAAAAAAAAGAAAAAGATTCTCAAAGGCAATAAAGGCCATCCAGTACCTCGCCACGTTTTGTGTCTTTGAAAACCCCTCCAGTTCCTGCAGACACGACAGAAAGGTGGCCTTTCACTGGGAGGAATCGCATCAGACAGGCTCCCTCCTGCTCGCAGAAAGCTGCACACCAAACTCCTGCAAGCCTTTCCTGAAAGTGGTACTAACTATAGGCTGTTTAATGCAAGATCTGTAAATTGGTATAAAAACATAAGCAGCTTTACAGATACTCTCCAAGGCACACGAAACAATGACGGAGTTTGCCCAAAGCGAGCACGGCAGAGCAGTTAATGGGAGTGAAGGACCCCTAAGCCCCCCCAGGCCTGGCCTTGGTTTCTTTCTCTGTACATTTTTAAGAGTAATTATTTACATATCCTCCATATCACCTCAATTCTACTTGTGTTCCTCGCAGTAATCACCTGAGAAAGCTGCACCTTGGCTTGGCTTACGAGCTGTCAGAACGCGGGACTGCAGCTCGACGCGCTCCAGTGATGCTCTACGTCCCCGAACCCCACGCAGGCGCCGCTCAGCAGCCACTGCCTCCGACGTCCGAGGGAAAACCCCCACGCACACCCCACGGCGTGCCGGCGCAACACCTGCATTGGGGGAGAAAAGTAAAACCACTACTATTCAACGACACCCTCTTTATTCAAAAATAGATATCTATGAGACATTTCAGAATATACTGCTGTCACAAATGGCAGCCTATATGTCTAAATTAATTCCTAAATCAATTCATATACAGATTTAAGCTTTTGTTAAAAAAAGACACACCTTGGGGAAATCTGTTTAACCTTGAGAGAACGTCACCCAGTTCACCAGATGCCCTTTGCCCAAAAAGTAAAACAAATAAAATTAAAAACCACTAGACTTCATTTAAATTAAGCAAAATAAAACACACACATATATTTGGAAAAAAAAAATCAAAACATTTCAATTAAAAAAAAGACATACAACTCTCTCACAGAAGATCTGCCCAGAACAACAGCGTGAGATGTCAACACATTTGTCTACACAATTTTTTTTTTTTAATGACAGCTTTTTTTGTCCCATAATGGACACACATTCAATCATTGGTCAGAATAATTATTGGTTAAAACAGCCTCAGGGTAACTCTCCGAGCTGAGACGGGGTAGAAAGGAGTCTTTTGGTTTGGGTTCTCGAGGTTTGGTGGGAATTCTTTCGTTTTTCATTTTTGGCAAAAGCAGAGAAAGGGCAGTGCTTTATCTACAGATTGTTTGGACCAGAAAAGGCTGCACAATCGAACCAAGTCATGGAAAGAACAGTTCTGCCACTGGAAAACTTCCTGTAAACTCAGAACACACTTCTCGGCTGGGCAGTAACGGTGCAAGGAGTTTTAAAAAAAAAGGACAAGATGAAGGGTCAGTAAGAAAAGCACATGAGCTTCTTAACAACTTAATGACCAAAAAATGCTGTATTATTTGTTTTAACTGAATGCTGAGTAGGCTCTGAATACTCCGTAAAATAAATTAATGAGGACGCAGAACAAGCTTTGCATTTCTGTAGGTTTCCTCTCATGTCTTTGACAACAGCAGCTTAAGACTACAGGGAGGCACAAACACAGCACATCAACTAATTTCAGCCTCTGTGTTACAAAATCTGTATTATCAGATCAAGTGTTTCCAGAAACTTAAAATGTTTTATAGTGAGAGGTGCTAAATTTAAACAGAATTGTTATCCAAATTGGAATGGTTTTCAGTGATCAGAGTCCAGCTTGGTAGACCTAACACACAAACTGAAAGGTAACTGCATCCATGGCAGCTAAAACGTTAGCTAGCAACCAAATGTATTAAGAGTATTGTAAATTTGCCTCTTTTTCTTTTATACTATTCCTGATTATAAAAATCAACTCACAATAATCTGTGACACAAAATTAAGTACATCCTTCTAATATCTACATGCATGGACATGGTACATGTGCATACAGGATATGTGCATATACATGGGTCTATTTTCTATATAAATAAACATTTATACCACATTTAACTTCTGTTCACCAAGTAACTTCACTACAGCTATGGAGAGAATTTACAGAACAGCATTTCCAACACAGCCATCCTCCGAGTAGGTCAGACAGTGCCTGTCACTGGGATATCACCAGTGGCAATACACCGTGCCAACCTCTCAGTTCGTGAAACCAAAGCTTCTGTGACCATCTGACTCTGCATAATGAAGAGGAAAAATGTGGTATAAATCTAAGGTAGCTAGAACAAAATTTACTTCCACTCTCATTCAGGTAATACCCAGTTCTGCATTGCTCAGCAGAGTGTAAATTACGAAGCTATCTCTAATTCACAAAGAAAAGCTGCTTAGTTTTATTGCCTGTGGTGAGTTTCAATTTCTGTACATGCCCAATAGGAACTATCTCCACGCCAGTCCCACAGCAGAATGAAGAACTGTAGATTTAAGAAAAATATGTCCCTGTACCATTGCTCAGCAGGTGCCGCCTTCCTGCCCAGACGTGGCACGGTACCTGCACCCACACGCGTCCCTGTGGAGCCCCCCAGCCACTCTATGCTCTCAGAGATGAGGTTCAGAAACCCAACTAAAACAGACAAGACTTATACAGAAATAATACAATACTTATACAGAGAAAAATGTTATATGGTCAACCTGTCTTTGAAAACTTTCCAGGTAGGTATGTACATGATTCTCATGACTTTTGTGGGGGTAACAAGTGCTAAGAGCAAACAGCAACTAAAAGAGTATGGAAACATATGAGAAAAGTTTGCTATATGGACTAGCCCCACTCCCTCTAGAGCTCACAACACTCGCTCTTTCCTCCCCCCGACGCGAGCCAGTGTGCAGAGAGAGGGGGACACGAGCAGCCAAGAGGCTGAAAGCGGGGTCTGCAAGTTCCTTGCTACTGTAGATCTCGGAAGACTGGATCTCCAGTCAACACCAGAGTCGTCTTACTTCTGCTGGTAATAATGGAAGCTGGGGGACACCGCTTGCTCTAGTCTGTTGAAAACAGGTCCCCAGCAGATGGCAGAGGTGCCAGACCTCCTGTGACATTGGGCAGCAGGGACAGATCTGGAAGGCTCTGGATGTGGGATTTCAGCTCCTTGCGGACCTGGGTTACCCGAGCAAGCTTCTGTTTGTATTCCTGAGGGAGAGAGACAAGAGAACAAAGATTAAGCACAGGTTAATTAACAGTGCTTTTAGTTAAGCTACAAGTATCTTCCCAGTGAGGATTCTGGGAGACAGTGGCAAGGTACTGGCTCTCTGAGCAACTGCCGCGCCGCTGCAGACCCTGTCACCAGCACCCGAATTCACAGCCCGGTGCCAGCAGGAAGCCCACAGGCTTCCGCATCCCCAAACCACTAATCCTGCCCTGGCTTAGCCACATAAAATGCCCCCAAAGCTGCAGGCACTGGGGCCTGGCAGAGCATTTGAGAGCAGCGCCGTTACACAGCTGGCTCTGTTCTTCTGCCCTTCCCCAGGCCGCTGAGCTGCGCCCGCTGCCGAGGAGAGCACGGCGGAGCGGTGCTCCGACACGCTGCTGACGGGGGCAGCGGGCTGAGGGGCACCACCGGGACCGCAGTCACTGCGCTGCTAAAATGCTCTCTTTTTTTTTTTTAAGCTTGATCAATTTCACACATTTAGCTAACCCGATTTCCCCTTTCAAGTCATTAAACCAGACCCAAGGGAAACGGGGTCTCTCTACGAGTCCTTCGACAGCCCCGGTCAGCAACCACCGCAGCTGTAGCGCTCGACCGGCTCGCCAGCGACCACCACCACAGAAACGCGTGTGGGATCACGCAGCATAAACCACGGACTGGAACCAAGCAACACAGACACAAAAACTTTCAGAATTTTATTACAAAGGGAGAAAAACAGTAGGTGAAAAACTCCTGAAGGGGCGACTTGCAAGCAGTTTTTCTACAAATGAGGTCTGGATTGAGCATTAAAACTCCACTAAGAAATAAGTATCCACCTTCAGAAATCTCCACAACCTAAGAGATGCCAGATAACAGTGACAAGTATTTCATAATGAGAAAACAGAGGAAGAGTCTGGGCCCTGAAAACGAAAGAACGAACTGTACCTCATTAAATTATGTTTAGAGGTCATTTAGGAACAGACCAACACACATCCAAGTTATCTAACACAGAAGTTCAATTAAAGATTGATGTCTACATTATTTTCAGAGTTTTGTGACTCTAAACATTTATCTAACAGTCACAGAAGACAGCTATTCAAGTAACAAAAAACCAGCATCCCATCATTTCTTTTGGGACGCACCAGTCTTTACCCAGCTACGCATGGCAGTTTTTTCGTGGCATCTCCAGAATGCAGGAAACAACGAGCTTGAGAAAAACAGTGCACAGAACAGGCTTCCATACAACCAGCTGTAATATTCACTTACTTTTAATTTCTTAATTACTTGGCAAAGAGAACAGTTTACCAGAGAACAGAAGTTTATCTTTGAAGATCAAATAAAACTAGACACACATTTAATCAAAACATCTTTCTGAAGAGTTTAGGACTCTAATCCAGTCTGTCTAACCTTCTCAGTGACGGAAATCCTCTTCACCTTCTCCAAACATCAAAGCGGAGCAGTTCCTGCGGGGTTACAAGCAATGAATCTACACTCTCTCTGTTTCATTACTTTGAATTAGAATAGCGAGAGCAGCAGACGATTGCAACAACTCAGAATATCCCTACGCCTGGAATGGCTATATAAATACATTCCATAAATTTCCTGCCAGCACCAAATAAGAACGTCTTAACAGCCTGCTGCAAACTTAAATCCTTTCAGGAGGCTCAGCGAGCTAACATCCTATCATTACCAAACACTTCTGTTCATGTACATGGGATATATACTGAAATACTCAAGTTCACACAAAGCTCTACCAGCTTCATAAACTAAACTGTACTGTTCACAAGGCTAAAGCAGAACAAAAAAAAATCCGGAGAAGGTGTGCCCGTTCATTTAGGATTGCGAGGATTTGGTTTGTTTTAATGGAAGACAAAGAATCATACTCAAAATAAGGACACACGCCACATCCCTGGTCATACCATTATGGGAAATAAATATGGAAACAAGTCAAGAAAGTCACCTTCTGAAGACGGGGAACAAAAACAGGAAAACACCCCAAATTTTTCAGCATGAATACAGAGCAGAAGCACATGCAGCAGAAAGCCATGGAAGTGCTGCGGTTCGACACTCCGCGTACTTCTCCAAGAGCCGGGGGAGGCCAGCACTGAGGAACGGGCGAGCTGGTAAACGGAGTGCTCTGCCCAGGGCTGGCACGTCACCATCAGCGAGGGGACGGCAGGACACCAGCTCCTGCACATACGGACAGCAAAAGCACTGATTGCATTCCACGTGCTTACAGACACAAGGTGGAAGAAGCTGCATTCAGAGACTGCTTCCCCCCCCAGAAGACTGTCTTAACATTTTTTTTTGTAAGTCCTAATTCAGGACATTGTCAGGGAGTGACGGACACCAAGCCAGGCAAGAAAGGGCAGCGCTTTCTCAAGAATGCCAAACTCTGCCAAGAGTGAACATTGGGAGATTTTTTTTGCTGTAGTAATTCTTACTAAAGACAGGACAGATATCAAGCAGGGGAAGGCAGCTGGCAAGCCCTCCAACTCTGATAAGTAGGGCAGAAGGTGCAAATTCCAAGCATAAACCAAGAAAATATCTCAAATACTGCCCGAAGAGCCAAGATCCACGCACAAAAATTCTGTAGAGCCAGGTACAAGGCGATGTCTGTCTGCACAGGACAACTGATGTCCTGCCACTTTCAGGGCAAAACTGCCAAGAGGACCAGGGTACGCTACTTCTAGTGGACAATTACGACTAGGATACGATGGGGTTTCTAGCTGATGGCAATTTGTATGACTATTACAGTTGTACTAGATCCAAACAACATCCCTTTCCTGATAGGACTATTCAGGGGAGGGAGAATTTTTGCAATGCCTTGCTTGAGAGCCCAGCTCCGCGAAAATATGCCAACAAATGAAGAATCGCCATGATGCACGCAAACCATACTTCTGTTCCAGTGCTTCTGCTCTGGGCAAACATACAGAACGAGGAGCGATTCCTCTACACGTTAACAGCTGCAACCCGCTCCCAGATTTGCAGTTAACAGCTTCAAATGTTCAGGAAAATACTGCTCTTAACTTCTTCTCATTTTCAGGAATCTCTACATCGAGAGCTACATAGAGTACTGAGCTATCAGAAATACCTTCTCAATTTGAACAGACTTTTGTATGTATACAACAACAAAAAAAGGTCACCTTGAGAAGCACATCCATTCATTTCTAAGTAATTCTACCTTACCCGTAGGTTAATGCAGGCATCAACTAGTTTACATAAAAGTTTTTGTTAAAGCAGTGAGGTCTAAATCCTATCTGTCAGAAGAAAGAAAGACTCACAAGAAAAAGGTAGCAACAGCCTCAGGACCATTAAAAACTCTGGCTCAGAAAAATGTCACTGAATTCAGGAATGGAAACAATGTTCTGCGGGAGCAATCCAGGAACCAAGATTTCCTAGAAGAGATAAACACTTGCCGGACAGAGCTGACACACAGACTACGTTAGAGAACTGTCTCCTGCATGCTTAACGCTTTCCATCTGCTCTGGCACCAAAAGGCTGTGCTGCTCTGCGGCAGAGCGCTAAAGGCCTTGGGCGAGCAGACACCGAGGCCGGGTCGGGGAGAGCTGGCTGCCCGAAGCAGCTGGCAGGCACACCAAGCCCGGAACACGGCAGGGACCTAAGGCCAGGCTATCACAGACACAGCCTGGAGGCGGCCCGGCGCTCCTGGGCTCCTCAAAGCGGGGAATTCTGAAGTCCCTCCGCAACATCGAAGAAACACTGTCGTGGTTTAACCCCAGCCAGCAACAAGGACCACGCAGCCGCTCGCTCACTTCTCCCCCCGCCCCCGGTGGGATAGGAAGGAGAATGAAGAAAAATGAACAAAATGGTAAAAGTACAGCTTATGGGTTGAGACAGAGACAGTTTAATAGGAAAAATAAGGAAAAAAATTATAATAAACAAGTGACGCACAACGCAATTGCTCACCACCTGATCAACAGTACCCAGCCTGACCCTGAGCCACGGTTGCTGTCCCCCCGGCCAACCCCCCCCAACTCACACACCAAGCATGATGCCGTACGGCGTGGAACATCCCTTGGGGCAGCTGGGGTCAGCTCTCCTGGCTGCGTCCCCTCCCAGCCTCCCACACACCCAGCAGGCCAGCATGAGAAACCGAAAAGCCCTTGATTTCTTAGCAACAGCTAAAACCATCAGTATGTTATCGACATTATTTTCATCCCAAATCCAAAACAGAGCACCACACCAACCACCAGGAAGAAAATTAACTCTATCCCAGCCAAAACCAGGACAAACACCTACCAGGGAGACATATCCTGCACCTGGTTACCTTTGCACGAGATGCAAGGCGTGTTTATTCAGATACACAGTTTGTACGATTCAGGACTACGCCTCAGCTTCACTCAGGAACATGCATAAGCAGAGACACGCGACCCCCTTCCAGGCTCAGGGGTTTTTCTTCTTCCACAAACCCAGTCGTGGCCATATTCTGCAGCGCAGCACTCTGGAAGCGGGTTTTATGGAAAGTTGTTTTTCATTTAGCCCCTTTACATGACATGTTTTGAAAGTGCATCTTGCAGGTCCCTCCATTCTATAAAACCGAACAGACACGAAGTGCACTTAAAAGCAACCGCTGCTTTCTGAGGTCTTAGTTTGTACTTCACGTGCCTAGCTAATTGCCTCACCGCATAGTAAGCTTTCATTAAGATTAATAGTGTTTAGATGCTATTTGCTTTTTTTTAGACAAAATAATGAGATCTTTGCTGTAAGCAGGACTTTGAGGACGATACAGAAAAAACTGGCGCTATGCCACATGAATGCTTTTGCTGATCAACATTCCCTTTCAGTATGTGGGATTCTACATCCACAGCAGCCACGTAAATTAAATACTTAGTCCTTGAAACAAACGCAAAACCAGAATTAAACACCAGTGAACCAACCTGACGGAAGCGTTTCATTCAAAAGAAGCCTTGCTTGAACATCATAAACCTGACTGTAATCGAGGGGACAGGGGACTGCTGCGCCGCGCGGTTCACCCTGCCGC